TCAGTGACTATTTACTATTTTTCAGTGATAATACGCTGATTCACTTTTAGAGAGTGGGTAAGTAGATTATGTCCTTCCAGATGGCCCGATCTTTCGAGGAGTTGGATGTAACATATCGTATGAAATTTCATCAAATAATGTCCGTTGCCTGAGTTTTATAAAAATATATTTTGCCAATCAATTGTATTATAAAAAAATATGTGTATTTTTTGGCACTTTAATTCGACTGATATAGCATTTAAACTCGACTGATATAGCTAATATTTTCACTGTGCATTAATTTAATGAAAACTTGAGTGATTAAGCAACATGAATCAGATAAACATATGCATCGAAAGAAAAATTGTTAAAGTCTGATCGCGAAAGTCATGTTATATAAAAAATTAAAAAAAAATTTTTTATAGGATCGATATACTAACTAATCACATTAATAATAAAATAATCGTCAATCCATGACCGAAATGTGACGTCAAAATAATGTTATATCAAGACGTCAATATGAAGTCATGTAATAAATCAGTCATTTTGACGACATTATGATCAAAAATGACCAGTTTGAAATGTCAAAATGACATGTGCTTGCTATCTGGGCTAAGAAGATACATAATTATATAATATTTCAACTATTATTCTTAAGCAATAAAAACATTTTTGTGGATTATTTATTAGAGAACTTTTATTAATAGCAGTGATAGAGCCGGAAAGGCAGAACCGTTATTAAAAAAAAGGAAGATCTTTTCTTAATAAAAGTAATGCGAAACTTTTATTAAGCAACGCAGTGAACGCGAAATTAATTCGAGTCTTTGAATGATAAAACAAATACATTTATCCTTGGAAATTCTCAATATAGAAGCTGCAAAGATTCATTTATTGCGTCATGTTCAATACGAACATATCTTAACCATCTCTCTTGTGAGATTTCGAAATATTTCATGATAAAAAGATCCACTTTAATGGGACTCTAATCTAATTCCTGGTACAAAAAGATTTGAAACACAACTCAATTATTGATCATTTCTTCCGTTAGTTGATTCCGTAAATGTTTTTGTGGAAAATATTTAAAAAATATCCTCTATAAGTATATATGGGGAAGAAATGGGGAATGTATAATGATAAATAAACGATAAATTTATCTGTGATTTTTATTTATATGTTTTAAATAAAATGAATAATGTGATAAATCACACCTGACAAATCATATGTATTAGATTTTAATGGAGCTTTGTCATGATAAGGAGTTAGTATTTTGAAACACAATAAAGCTTCCACACCACATATTTTATGTATCATATGTTTATATATATAAAAGATACATATATATATATCTATATATCTATATATATATATATGATAATAATAATCTTTGTTTATTAATAAGATTAATAATCTTAGAAACATAAATGTTTCTAAGATACTTAAAATAAATATACAAATTTTTATGAAATATATGTGTTATTCTTTTGATAAATATATTATTATGTTATCCGAAATATATGTATTTACGGGAATATATATATATATATATATATATATATATATATATTCCCGTAAATATATATATTTCGTATATATATATATATATATATATATATATATATATATATTTTACTTGGCGCTGCCAATTTTATTAATATATTGTTCAGCTTAAAAGCCTAAATTTTCAAATGTAAATCAATATAAATTAATTAAATAAATTAGATCATTAAATTTAAATGTTAGACTAATAATTGGAATATGTTCCAATCTTTTAAATTTCCATATTATATAAAGTTGATAAAATTGAAAAAACATAAGCTTGAATAAATCTCATAGAAATTTCTAAAGTAAAAAGTATAATTTGTGAAAATAATATAAGAATTATAATAATTAAATTATTAATTGAAGATCCAGAAGATCTTAAGAGAATTAATAATAAATGTCCAGCAATTATATTTGCTGTTAAATATATATTTAATTGGAATATATGCCAATTTGATTGGCAGCGCCAAGTTTTTTTAATTAAATTTTTTTTTACTTTCTTGTTTTATATTAATTTTCAGTTTCCAATTTTTAAATAAATTTTTAATTTTTTAATATTATTATTTTTGAAAATTAAAGCAACTATTTTGTATAACAATGTTCTCAATTAAAATATTTCTATTTAACTTGTACAAGTTTTCTTTCTTGTACTTCTATTTATCTTGTACAAATTTTTATTCTTAGTTGGCGCAATTTTATTGAGGAATTAAAAATGTTTTAGTAAGATTAATTTTTTTTTCTTTTTAGAAGTGTCCGCGATGTAGAATCTAATCTTTATCTTCATATTACAGCTATAATATTAATAGTATATATTAATCATAAGAAGATTTCTGATAGTAATTCTATTAATAATTAGTAGATTATTGATAATATATTTTGCTTTCACCCTATAATTCCTATCCCAAATCAATTCATATCCCTTGCGCATAAGTGTAAGTAGTTTAAAAATATAAATACGTAAGACAGAGAGAGAGATAAGTAATCGGGCAATGAACTCGTCGTCTCATCTTCTCGTTCCACAAATTACGTGCAATAAACGAAAATGCAGTACAACGTTTGCTTTTTAAATAAACTTTTAAATATGCTCTATGAATCTGCCTATAAACGGTAGCGATTTTTTTTTCCAGTAACGTAGAAAAGAATTTCCAAGAAAAATCTTACCATTTCAACATTGTTGTATAAATAAAATATAATACACCGAAGTAAAATAAAAATATCGTCGTGATATGAAGAATGTACATCCTGAAATAAATGAGCTTCATAGAATATGATAACATAACAATTTTTAACAAAAATATATTTTAGATATAAAATATATTTTAGAACTTCCATTTCCGCCGGTATAGCTGGTGTCACATGTAGCGAGAGACAGTTTATTCAAGCGGTGAAAAAATGAGTTGGAGAGTATTAGTTGGAAGAAGGAGAAGGTTCCCTTCTGATGGAGGAGGCAGAAAAGAGATTTTTATAGAAGGAGAGGGATATCGGTAGAATGGATAAGGAGACAGAGGGAGGAAAGCAGATAAGTGAGTGGAGAGTTAAAGAAAAGAGATATCGAGACAGCTGGAAGCTTTTACACTCTCTCAAATCTTTCCTGCTGCTGCAGGAGACAGAGGACGAACGGAGGATAGACGAGTATGAGAGAGAGAGAGAAAGAAACAGAGAGAGAGAGGGAGAAAGGGGGGGTGGAAGAATGCGGATAGAATAACGAGAGGAGAGAGAGCGGGAGTGAGATGGCGGAGAAAGTTGCGGCGTGCGGCGTGCGGCGATGGCGTGCGGCGATAGCGTTACCTAAGAGGAGCGGCGGTCCTCTTGTACCCCGTATAAGGCAAGGAAATAAATTATTATTATTATTATTATTATTATTATTATTATTATTATTATTATTATTATTATTATTATTATTATTATTATTATTATAAAATATATTTTAAATTTTCCAAGAAATTAAAAAAATTAAATTTAAATTTAAATTCAAAGTTATTAATTCAAAGTTTGATCTTAATATATATTTAAATATATATTAATATATATTTAGATTTATTATATAATTCAAGTAATATATAATTTAAGTTCAGTTTAGTTTTATTATAATTTTAATCAATATATGTATTATAAAATTTAATTTATTTAATTTTATAATTTAAAAATTTCAAAAATAATTTTCTCAAATTTTTAGAGAAAAGTGGATTAAATCGTTGTTGCACCAGAAACAGTAATTGCATGTAATTTATACAAACATGAAGTATAAAATGAAAAATGTACACGGTAAAAAACATTTTGTATTTCTGTTAAAATTTTCTCGTGTAAAAATTTTTCTGTTAAATTTTTAACATACTCTTATGTTAATGTAACATATTATCGTTGAATTATTTTGACATCTGTGCGTTGAGTTAATATTCACCGTTTCTAAGAGTTAAAACAACACAATTAATATCTAAATGCATGAATTTTTGATGAAATATGTTATATGTTAAATTGAACAGATAAGTTGTGTTATTTTTCTCTCTATAACAGTTTTCATATGTTAGATCGACATATCTTTTCCGTTATTTATTATAAAAATGTAAGAATAACATTTTCTTTTAATTAAATTTAACATTATAAATATGTTAATTTAACATAAACTTTATTACCAGATAAAGTTTAAGTGTTACACTTTTGTGTTAATTTTTAAATATATTACTTGTGTTATTTATTTACATACTTGCCTTCTGTTAAATTAACATTAAAATAAGAGTGGATAAATTGGGACATGTGAAATTTAACACAAAAATTTTTACTGTGTATCTATAACATCTATATAACAAAAATTTTCAAAAAATTATACAGTTTTTTCTTGTTTCATATTTTCATATTTTCTTTAATATATAATTAAATAATATAATTAAATATATAATTAAATATTTTTTTCCAAAAATATAAAGAATATATTATTAACCCATTTACTTCATACAAAAAAATGAAAAATGTGTCATATGTCGACTTTATGATCAATATCCGTGCTCTGTAATAAAAGGATGAAAGAATTTAAAAAATAATAATATTAGATGAAAGGAGTCTCAACGAAATTATTATGTACATATAACTACAAATGTTGATATTGACGAGAACATCCATACTAATTGTTTTGTACTGTATGATAGTATTTGAAATGATCGATGCATGTAACTATTTGGCAGTTACCGTTGATAAAATGTTTCTCCTCTCTTTTTTTGTGATAAACAAACTACATAATGCTTTTGAGCTTTTCTTGATGAAGTTGTTCTCTCTCAATCTGAATTGGAAAATGTTGACTAGTAAATCTTGACGGTAACGACATGGTATAATGTTTTCGTTTTTTTGTAGTATTTTTATTTTTTAAATATATTTTTCAATGATTTCTTCTGATAACTTTTATTTGAAGACATTGAACGCTCTATCTTTAATAGTTATAGTTACTTTATACTATATTATACTATTTTTTTCAGTACAAATAACACTAAACTATTTATGCTAAATTATAATGTCATCTAAGAAAACAATGCTCTTTAGTAAAAATGATCAAAACAATTGCGCGTATATATACGCTCCAGTGATAGTGACCAGGAAAAATGTGCGTTGATATATGCTAATGATACAAATGGGTTAATATAATACACAACGATTCCGCAAATTTTATAATCAAATGTTATATATCCACTTCTCTCTTCTGCTTATTGAAACATTTATCTTATTGTTTGTACATATTTTGAAGATCTCTATATAATACTTAGCAGATTTTATTCCTGATTATAGTGTTTATTATTTATTAATAAAAATACAAAGTAAGTTTGCGATGCAGTAAGCAATGAATGAGTTGAGGTTATACAATATATAGTTAGGTAATAGAACAATAAAAAAGTTATAAATCCACAGCGCAAACACGCGGTAATCCTGTGAATGCAAAGTCTGAGAAGGGCCAAATTTTAACAATTCCTAGTATGGTAATGATATTGTTAGATTGTACGAATATGTCGCGAAATTTAATAAATTTATGTAAAGAATACTCACATTTTTTGACGCCGACGGGCTTTCGGCAAAGTAGATAGATCTTCTTTCATGCAATATTGCCGTATGCCAAGGACTAAATGCTTAAAGTATTCCATCTTATCGAAATTATAAATCATAATTGGAAATATTTTTTTATCTAATGGTGTTAGATCGTCACATAAAGTAATTATATTTTTATTATAAAATATCCATTGCCTCGTTGTGAAATATTGCAATACTGCGAGATTGTCTAAAATTCGTTTCTGGATTCTTACCATACTGTTTGTAAGAATAACGAAAAAAGATAATAGTTAAGGAAATTTATACATTTACATAATATTGTGTAATTACATGTGTAAAAAAGCAAAAAATGTCAACAGATAAAAATGGATAAAAAATATATAATATCAACAGATAAAATGAGAATTTGAATAAAAAATATATAATGTCTAAAAATATTAAAACATGAGAAACTTACAATTTTCTTTGTCGAAATATTAGCATCAGAAAGTCGATGAAGTATGCAGGTATGATGTGGAAGAGTAAGACAATAATATTATGCACAAATTTATTGCTATGTAAGTCGCCTCCTGGATACCAAACTTGTTCCTCTAAAGGATATTCGTGAAAAAATTGTTTACTTCTCTTCCACACCTCGCTCCATGTGATAGGCATTGTATCGATTTGCGATGTCATATTGACTACGAATATACTTTTCGAACTATAAATGGTAAATCAAACAGAAAAAATTAATATTTTTTTTTATTTATAAATGAAAGACAATTGTGCAAATATAAAATAGTTAAAGAATGCAATCGATTAAAAAATATAGCTTCTGAACATTTCTCTCTATTGCATAATATTAAATAATTTAAAAATTGTAATAAATTAATTTTTAATAAAAATCACGACAATAAATTTAAGAGAAGTATACAATTTTACAAATAAATGAGATATTTTACAGTTTACGATACTTTAATTTAGAATATTTTATAACAATTTAAAATATTATATAATCTTGATATTAAAAATGTTTTAAGGAGCATTAGTGACAAAAATTTGTTTATATTACGAGCATAATATTAAATAATTAAATTTCACTTTAATTTAAATTGTGATATATTTTACTATTGCAGAAGAAAAGTTTGAGCAAAATGGAAACTTACTTTCTCAGGTTAGTGGCTATTTTGTATGCAATTATGATTAAATCGTTAATTGCAAGATCAACTGGTACAGAGTCGACAATAAAATTGCCGTTGCAATGCACCGATCTGATAATACCCTTGGCTCCACCGACAAGTACTCCTATAGGTCCATTTAAATTGTCGACCCATCCTGGTAACGGCTCCTTGTACGAAGGGAACACTGCGACGGGATTCATTTATATTCTTTTTTGTCTATACACAGTCGCTGGGATATTATATTTTAAAATTTTTTATAATTAATAAGATATAGCGATAATTACCGATTGATGGTCTAGCAATGCAACAAGGCAGTTCAGGAAATTCATTGGCTACCAACTTTTCAGCCAGATGTTTCGAATATGTATAAGTATTTGGGTGCGGATGTATTAATCTAAAAGAAAATTGCAAAGATAAACACAATAAAATCTCATATATTTTCTTATGCACAATTAAGAGAGAGAAATAACTTAATTTAATTAAATTAATTTAATCATCATTTAATTAAACATTATAAACATTAGTTATAAACATTATTACATATTACTAATATTGTTTATTAATATTCTTTCATTAATATAGTTACTTTATTTTATTAATTTATATAATTATTTACAATAACTTTCAAATATTTAAATATTTTAAATTTTTAAATTTTATAAATAGTTGAAAAAAATTATAATTTGAAAAATATATTATTAATGACTAAATAAAATATACTTGCGCGAGCTACGCTTATGCTGAATGTTCTTAATTATTAAAACCGATTTTTAATTACTTTGGCGTAATACGATCGATAGTATCTTCATTTAAATATTGAACGAGTTTCAAAATATCCTCAGGGTCATTAGAGGAGTCATATATACGCTCGTCTATTTCCTTTTGATCAACGTGACAGAAGGCTGTGCTTAGATATATAAAAGCTTGCAGGTGCTTCATTTCTTTTCCCAAGTTTAGCATCCTTTTTGTACCATTCTTGAAAAATAAATCAAAGTCTTATAAATCATTAAGAATATTATAATATGCAAAATTAAGTCTAAAAAATATACTATGTCTCATTACTTATAAAGGATTCCGCACAAATCTTATGGAAAAATGGTTTCAATGAAATTGTCTGAAAGTTGGATATGTTTTAATTTATGACTTCTAGATCAAAAGTCCTAGTGAGCACGATCTTTAAAAGTGGACAAATTTTTCGTTACAGTCATTCAAAACGGACAATTGAATTTACGCTGGAGATGTGTTCGACATTACATGTTGAAATATGTTGATATATTCGCGCGTATATACATACAGTCTATGTGGGTGTATACCTCGATTAATATCGCAGAAAGTGGTCGGATGAAGAAATAACTCGAAAAGTACTTAACAAAAAAATACTTTATTGTAATGTGTATTGGAAAGCTTTCGAGATATGCTATAATAAATATCGATAAAAAATGGGGAGTTTAATTTAAAAGAACAAAGTTGAATTCCATCCGATCCTTTTCGATGTTAATCGTGATGTACAATTAAAACGGGACGTTCTGTATATATTATACATATACACACACAAAGCTCATGTATACGCGCGAATATATCAACACAATTCCACATGTATTGTCGAATACATCTTTAGCGAATCTAATTGTCCGTTTTGAATGCTTGTAATGAAAAATAATGTTTAAAGATCGTGCTCATTAGAATTTTTGATCAGGAGGTCATAAACTAAAATATATCCAACTTTTAGACAATTTCTCTAAAACCACTTTTCCATTAGGCTCGTGCGGAGTTCTTTGATTAATTTTTATGTTGCTTCGACACGCATACACACATATAAGTCTTTCTAAAAATAAATATCTTTATCTACATTTTTATATAAAAATCTATCGCGTGAACAAACAAAGTTTAAAAATAATTATACTGTAATCAAGAACTTTGCATCCAATGCAAACAACTAATAACACGTTATAGAAAATATAAATTCAATTGTTCAAATCGACTAGATTGATAATTTACTTAAATTGATTAGATTTAAATTTCTTTATGAAAGCTAATATCTCACCATGTTCATTTCGATGGCATCTTTCAATTTTGCATTCATTCGAAGACTCGCGGCGCAATGAAATATTATGTTTACTTCATTTATTAGTCGCTCACGTTCTTCATGAGTAAGGCCCAAGTTGTCCGAACATATGTCGCCATTAAACGGTATCACTTTCTTCAAAACTTGAGGCTTCTCAGTTTGTATTCTCTGAAACATCTATATAAAAATATCAGTTTTATTTGCTAATCTCGTGCATATATTACCATTCATTGTTTCAAAACATTTTAGTTGAATAAGCTTAATTAATATTAAATTTATTTATATTCAAAATTTAATAATTTTTCGGGTAAAACTGTTGTTTAGGGGACCCAGTCCCAATGACCTTGACCTTGACGTATGTTGTCAAGGTCACTGTCCTGAGCAACGTGAAGGAGGTTTTAGCCATCGCTCGTTGTTTATTAAAAAGTTATTAACAAAAAAATTTCACAAATTTAATGTCTTTTATCTCCGAAAATATTGATTTGAGAAAAAAATTTTAAGCAAAAAATAAAGCCGCTGAAAAATTCTATAAAAAAGGTTATGTACATTTTTTTCATAAACCTACTATTTTAGCTGTTATATAAAAAAATAATAATTTTAAATACATTTAATACAATTAAATTTATATAGATTTAAATTTATATAGAATTTAATATATTTTAATGCAATTAAAATATATCACAAATGTATGTGTACGCACAAAATTTTTTTCTCAAATCAATATTTGTAGAGATAAAAAGCATTAAAATTGTAAAGTCCTTTTGTTAATATTTTTTTTTTCTTTTTAATACTTTTTAATAAACAACGAGTGACGGCTAAAATCTTTTGAATGTTACTCAGGACAGTGACCTTGACACATATGTCAAGCTTAAGGTCATCAGAGGTTGCTCCCCTAAAGTAAATAATTACCCAAAATATATAGCAACATTATTTTGTCATTAAGGATAATAAAGATAATATGAGTCACACAATATCTTACAGATACATTGAACATATCTTCAAGTCGATTGTCGCAACTACGACCTTTCTTGTCTCGCATTAAGATGTAGATTTTATTGAGATCTGAACAGCTGTATAGCAACTTTTCTATGAGGACCTTGCCCATAAAACCAGAAGCACCAGTAATGAAGATAGTCTTGTTTTTGTAGAAGGATTGAATCTCAGACTTTGATTCATTCATAGCTGAAATTTATCATATATTGCAGAATTTGTGATCACGACAGACAAAAAAAGAAAATGTATTTTACTACGCGGTAAAACATATAGGAAACCACACAAATTCGCTTTGCAGTATGATATTTATAGTGTTCGTATTATTATACAACTTGACGCGAAATGTATATTGTTACATTATTTTCAAATCACCGTATTACATCGCAACTCATAATTTTCACGCAAAAGCTTGCGACGTAATATTTTTACAATCCTCGGATGTTCAAATGTCATCAAAAACACAAATAACGAAAAAAGAATACTCGCGCTCGGAGGAACAGAGATGGAGGATGTACTACGCGAGCCGCGGCGAAGCGAAGGCCGAATCGAGATCTCGAAATTGGGCGCCGGATTCGGTCTGTCACGTATCAATTCGTTAAACGCCAAAGTAACGCGACAAACGCTTGCTTTATTAGCCACAGACCGACTAGTTTGTCTAACGGTAGTGCGTCTACGGAAAATATTATAATGAATTTACACGAGGCTTTACGAAAATCCAAAAATTCGACCATCACGACAAAATCTAACGTTCACAAAAGGTCGACACTCGAATTGCGCGGACTTAGTATAAAAAAATACAATATAACAAGTTTATTCAATAAAAAAAAGAAAATAAAATAGAAGAAGAAACAATTTAAAGAAAAATAATAGTAACATTAATTAGAGAATATTTAAAGCAACGAAATATAACAAATAATAATTGGACAGCGGTGCTCATAATCATAACACAATCTATCGAAATTCGCAAAACGTGAAAATTAGAAAGATCAAATATTCACGCGATACCGAAATCCTAAGGGAAGAATGTTGTAACATTCCTGATATTTCTAACTCTTTTTTATTGCCAGACTTAGCGGGGTCGAACGGCGCATCGAAAAACGTAACGATACTTTGACTGTCGAATCGTCGTCTTATTTTATGAGACTTTTCTCACAAACGCACTTCAATTTGCTCTAATTTTTAGTCTCGATATTCAAATTGACACCAATCGGTTCGAAAGAATACCTAATAATCGAGCGAGAATAATTAATTAATTTACGAAAATGTGATAATTCGTTTTGCGACGAGTCAATGCGATCGATAATCGATCGGATGCTGTTTACGCCGCACTTACTTTATTTCTCGATATAACGCTCCTAACATACGCGAATCTTTCGAAATTCAGCAGTCTCGTATTTTTGTGCAATGCGACACGCTTACATATGCGACCGGTATCATGCACGAATCATACAATAATAATAAGCGCGTCAGTATAATAAGCGCATCAGAGAAACGGTGAGATAAGGGACAGAATCGCGTACACATAAATTGACATGGCACATAAATTAAAGACGGGCAATCTCACTGATATGCTCGCTCCTTGTCGTGGAATGGGATGATCCTCGGCTCCGTCCTCTTAGTTTCTTCTGCGAAACTCACACGACAAAACTATAGAGCGCTCGCACCAGAGTATCTCTCTGGATCTCGCGATCCAGGGTCGATAACCGTGTCAATGCTGCGCGCAGGTGACCAATCGCTCCGCTGCACGATAGATTTCGCGGCGCCCCGCGATAACGCCGTATCGGAGATTGTTACGGCCCCGATAATTTAAATCTTCTAAATTTGTGAGGACTCTTTATCGACGATCTTCTCCAGCCGATCTTTTGTCTCCGTCCGCGAAGGCGCCGACCGGACTCTGTAATCCCGGGTCTAAATAGCCGTTTTTAGGGATGTTCTTCTTCCTTTTGCTGGAGCGAACGCCAACCATGATTTTGCGCTTTCCTGACTCGAAGATCTTCGGGCGTTATCTCCGCATTCGAATCTGTGGCTGGAATGGAAGCACCGCTTCGGTTGTCGTGAAAGTTTCCTCTTGGTCCTCTTCCCGATATGCTCCGACGGGTTGCCCTAATGTAGGAAATGAATGTAACATAAAAAAAATAACAATTAAGAACGCGAAATAATAATAATAGTTCGTCTCTGCGGAGATCTCGATATGACTCTCGCAATCCTATCTAGCGCGGCAGCTCGGCTCGCGCTTCGTTAAGATTTTCGGAGCGGATGGACGCGCATCACAAGTAGAGTCCGGATCTTGATGCCGTTTTTTCCACTCCAAGTGCATGCTAGCGGCCGAGCGCCGCGAAAAGCAAATAGGATACCATCTCGTAGATAAAGAAACTATAATAATTTATTATATTATTTTATATTTTATATTATATATATATATTTTTTATATATATATATTTTATATATATATTTATTATTTTATATTTTATATTATATATATATATATATATATATTTTTTTTTTTTTTTTTTACGCGATGGTGCCCTCTTTGCTATCCTCACTGGACCGGCATAGACGATACTGCTTTTCGCGGCGCTCGGGGGGCCTTTAGCATGCACTTGCAGTGGGAAAAACAACATCAAGATCTGGTTTCCGTTCACAAGCATCATAAATCTGTGGGCAAATAAAAATCATGGTAAAAGAAAATTGACGATAGATCGATTATATGTATTCAAATGATTATAATTTTGTAACCTAACTTGCATCTTATAACGATTTTCATTTTTTTTTATTAGTAAAGACGACAGGATAGGAATTTAGTCAAATAGAATGAGAATTTAATTAAAATATATCGATTTCTCCAGATTATGATATCAATTTTTATGAAAGTAATAATGATTGCTTTATTCCAAAAATCTTTATATTAAATCATCGTAGTTTATTTATAATTTCGATGCCCTTTTTCGTTTCTAATTTGATAATTACTTGTTACAATCTCTACCGACCATTTAAGTCTTTTCAATATTAATTCGTACACAAATATACATATTATAAATATACATATACAAATATGCACAAATATACATATATACATATTACTTATACGCTTACTTTGTGATTAAGAAAATTATAAAAAAGATTATTTAAGATCAGTTGTGTTAGGTCATGTTTATGAAATTCATGAAATTCATGAAATTTTAAGAATACATTTGCATTTATATAAATGATTTTTAATATCGTGCGAGTTATTCCTGAGAATATATATTCAATTATTCGCAGTCATTTTTAATTGAAAAAATTGTACAAGACTTTAGTAAATGCATTTGCTCGAGAGAGATATATTCTCAAGGATAACTCGCCTATTAATAAATGCATTCCAGTCTCGAGAGAGATTTATTCTCAAGAATAACTCGCTCGATATTAAAAATCATTTATATAAGTGCAAATGTATTCTTAAAATTTCATGAAAATGACTTGACACAATTGATCTTAAATAATCTCTTTTATCATTTTTTTAATCACAAACAATTTTTATTTAATCTGTAATCTCAGCAATAAACTTTTTCGAAATCAAAAAGATCACGAATATCTAGGATAATTACATTTACTAAAAGATTATGTAAAAAGATTTGGTAATTATTTACTTATATGGATCATCTCCCGATTTCAATACATCTCACATATGTTATCAAGATCATCATTCTGAGTAATGTTGTGAAGATTTTAGTCGGCGGTCATTGTTTATTAAAAAGATATAAACAAAATAAGTTTCAGAAGTTTATTAATACATTCACCCGAAAAAAAACGGGCCACTAAATTTTAATGCAATTTTTTCACATTTTCAAATAGCGATAAATCAGTAAATAATCACCGATCGAGATGAAGTAGAGCTCAAATTAAAGCTCGAACATTTTTCTTAAAAATCAAGAAAACCAAATTTAAATTACAAAAAATATTGTATAAAATGGCAGACGTTGAAGATAACCTTCGAAAAATGGGAAACAAATTATTTTTTTCAACTGTTGCGTTGCTCAGGAGAATTTACACGCTAATACACAAATATATGAATTTTGAAGCTCATTTATTTCCTAACAATCCACATTTTGAACAATTTTCTACAACCTTTTTTAATAAAGCTTTTTTTATACCGTTTTGAAGAAAATGTTGCAAAATAGGTCTTTTCGCCGCAACGCTTTGCAAGAGGAATCGAACAATTTAAAACAAGAAATTTGATTAAGAGTATATTACAAATCGAAGGATTAATGCATGCGAAAGGAGGCAATACGCATTATTAAACCCACGCGCGCACGCACGCACACATACACACACACACATGGGATCAGATTCTTGTCACGTCCATGCCATTGACTCTGGATAATGCCGAGAGCAGGATACATGCATATGCATATGTACACGCATACACACATACAAGATTTAAATCCAACCATATCTCGGATCATCTTGGATCGAGTTACACTTTAATTTCTTTTATTGAAAAAGTTTTTCTCCATAATTTATTGTTGAATTGCAGATTTTACAAGAAAAGTCCCATTTTGCAACATTTTCTTCAAAATGGTATAACTTTATGAAAAAAGGTCCTAGAAAATTGTTCAAAATATGGATTTATTAGGAAATAAATGAGCTCCAAAACTCATATATTTATGTATTAGCGTATAGATTCTCCTGAGCAACGCAATAGTTTTAAAAAAAATTTGTTTCCCATTTTTCAAAAGCTATCTTCAACGTCCACCATTTTATAAAAAATTTTTTGTAATTCAAATTTGATTTTCATGGTTTTTAAGAGAAATGTTCAAGCTTTAATTTGAGCTTCGTTTCATCTCGATACGATGATTGTGTGCTGATTTATCGGTATTTAAAAATGTGAAAAAATCGTGTTAAAATTTAATAGCCCTTTTTTTTGCGGGTGAGTGTACATTTATCGAAAGAAAAGTCAATTGTTACATAATTTCACATAAATTTATAACTTTCTATGCAAGTGAAGTGTATCCCGCATCACAGGTTAAGTTATCTTCTGAAAGAACATACTGTACCTATGCATGTACTTCTTAAGATGAAGCAACATTTACTCTTAATAGAGATCAAGGTTAAGTAAATGCTGCTTTGCTTTATCTTGAAAAGTACATGTGTGGACAGTTTGCTTCGCTCCCCTGCGGGCCGCACCACTTTTAAAAGATATAACCCATGTTTGTGATGCGGGATACACTTCACTTTGCATACACAGTAAAAAATATTGTGTTAAATTTAACATATTTCACATGTTCCAATTTATCCACTTTAATTTTAATATTAATTTAACAGAAGGCAAGTATGTAAATAAATAACACAAGTAATATGTTTGAAAATTAACACAAAAGTGTAACACTTAAACTTTATCTGCAAATAAAGTTTATGTTAAATTAACATATTTATAATGTTAAATTTAATTAAAAGAAAATGTTATTCTTACATTTTTATCATAAATAACAGAAGAGATATGTCGATTTAACATATGGAAACAATTATAGAGAGAAAAATAACACAACTTATCTGTTCATTTTAATGTTACGTTCAGATCCTGAAAGGATGATCTGTATGGAAGAACGTAACTTACTTATCCCGTGACACACTTTATTCGGGCGTGTGTATGGATCGGGTCGAACGAATGTGAAGGGCCTGACACAGGTCAGCGACCGAAGGTCTCTTTAACTCTGCGTTTTTACGCCTATTCGTTCGGTGGTCCCTTTTCGGTAAAGGAATTTAATCCTTGTTACGCGGGATAGGACCTAGTGCGATCTCAGGGTTTAGGGAAGAGAACGGGTTAAATAATTAAATTTTACATTAAATTAAAAATACATATATTATATAAAAAAAATAAGGAATGAAAAGTACATCTTAGCAGTTGTAGTTATGCATGAGTGAGTATATACATATATACAGGGTGAGGCAAAAGTATGGAAACCCCTACATTTTTCGAAAACTATGCATTTTAGAAACAAATGTTTCAGACAAAGGTTGTAAGGTTTCAAGTAATGCATTACGTAGCAATATCAGTGTAACCTTGAATAGCACCGTCAAGGTCACATAAAAATCACTTTGAATTTTTTAAATGAAACCCCCTATTTTTCATTGCATATTCTTGTAGCTTATCTCGAGAGCTTTCCAAAACACTATAATTAAGTACCTTTTTATTAAGTACTTTTTGAGTTATAAGGCTTGAAATAATTTCTTAATTTTACATAAACCATAAAATATCTAGTAAATCATTCATTTTTCGATTATCTTACCTTCATACTTTTATGTACAAAATAATGAGAGGAATCAATTGGTGTAAAGAAAACACATAGTTGTTTCTAAGAAAAAATATGTAATTTGCAATTAACAATTCCAAGATAAGATAATCGAAAAATGAATGGTTTACTAGATATTTTATGGTTTATGTAAAATTAAGAAATTATTTCAAGCCTTATAACTCAAAAAGTACTTAATAAAAAGGTACTTAATTATAGTGTTTTGGAAAGCTCTCGAGATAAGCTACAAGAATATGCAATGAAAAATAGGGGGTTCCATTTAAAAAATTCAAAGTGATTTTTATGTGACCTTGACGGTGCTATTCAAGGTTACACTGATATTACTACGTAATGCATTACTTGAAACTTTACAACCTTTGTCTGAAACATTTGTTTCTAAAATGCATAGTTTTCGAAAAATGTAGGGGTTTCCATACTTTTGCCTCACCCTGTATATATATATATATATATATATATATATATATATATATATACATACACACACAGTCTGACTATAAAAGTTTTAGGACTAATTTTATAAAACGTGTCTAAACAGCATCATCTGTCTTTCGCCACTTGAAATCTCTTGCATTAATCTTTAACTACGTTTCTTCTATTAAGTTATCAATATTAGTTCAGTGCAATTTAGTTTTATTCGAATCTAATACAATCTCTAAACACAATTTTTCAATGACAAGTTAATTATATCTAAAATATATCTTTGTACAAAGTGTTTGTTTTGTCTCGTCATGGGAGCGTTAGTCAAGCAACGGTATGCGATCAAGTTTTGTATAAAATTGAGCAAAATTACTATAGAAACAAATAAAAAAATGCAGAATGAATTGGACAAAATTCACTAAGAGTGAAGATATTCCGATTCTAAGAGTCAAGAATAAAAACAATACTCATTGCTTTCTTTGATGTAAAAAGCATGATTAATAAGGAATTTATTCCACAAGGGACAACAATTAATTTTGAATTTTATAAGACCATCATGGAAAAAATTCTCGCAAGAATCAGCCGCATACAACCTGAGATGAAAAAGAATGATGATTGGTTTCTGCTTAATTATAACACTCCGGCGTATAA